AACTTCGAAATTATTCTGTGTTTCTTCTTTCAATCTTTCTTTTGATTTACATTTGCTCCCTTTTCCAAAAATTCGAATTATCTTATTCCCCACCCTCTTTCCTCATTTTCTGATTTATTTCATTTTCTTTTTATTTATTCTGAAAATTCGAATTTCTTTGCGGCACCCTTAAATCTGATGAGGTGTTAGTCATTCTTGCTTCGGCACACATTTTGACCCCGTGGGGGTAAAGTGCTGGCAAAATTTTCCCATTTTCCTTGGCCTTTCTTCTTGACGGCACACTTCGACCCCATGGGGGTAACGAAATGCTGCCGAATTTTTTTAAAAATCCTATACTTAATTTCTCTTCACCTCCTCATCTACTTATTTATTTATTTATTTCTCTATTTCTTTATTTATTATTTCTTTATTTATTATTTCTTTATTTGTTATTTCTTTATTGATTTTCTGAAATTTTTTATTTGCGGCACTTTGAAACTTAGTTTGCTTATCTTGGTCTCTTCTTTCCCTTGGCACATTCTTGACCCCATGTGTAGCGGAGCTCTGGTTGGCCTGTGAGACCAGCCCCTTGACCTGTTCTCACAGGCCTGTGTTGTATTCGGGGCAGTCCAGTCCAGGCCGATACCTCGGTCGGTACCAGCAAGTCCAGTCCACCCGTGAGTCCGCTGGGGTATACCCCAGTTGTTGTCTGTTTTTCGATTCATTCTACATTCGCACACTTTGGAGTACGTGCGTTGGAGTCTGGCGTGGGAGTTGCGCTGTGCCATCTCGCTCCCCCTTCTTCCTCCATCTCCATCTCTATCCCAGGCACACCTGGTGGGTCCACCACACTGGTATCGGAGTAGGAACGTACCCCGCTCCCGCCCACCACCCCGCACAACGGGGAAAATGCAGGGAAAACGCCAAAACCCGACAACAGGGTTTTTGGCTGCTTTTCGGTCGATTTTTGACGAAAACGAGGGAAGAAAAAAGGTGCAGCAGGAGAGCGACACGTGGCGAAAAAAGGATTTGCCATCACGACGCGTGCGCGCCAAGACCAAGGCCGCCACCCGCGCGTTTAAGATCCGGGATCTTGCTGCTGTTGGGGTTTGAACCCGAGCAGCTGCTGGGCTTGCGCGTGCGTAGCTACTGCTGTAACACACTCGCCATATTGTGCATATCACTTTGTAGTGTGGCACGCTGCTGTTGAAGAAGTGCGTGCCAGCTATTTCTCTCTTCTTCATCACTTTTTCATCCACTTGCCTCCCCTACTTCGATTTTTTCTGTTTTTCTTCTTTTCTCTTTCTCTTTGATTTAAATCTTCCCTTTTCTCCCAAAGTTTGAATTATCTTATTCCCCCCCCTCCTCTCTCATTTTCTGATTTTTTTTTTTTTTTTTTTTTTAATTCTGAAAATTCGAATTTCTTTGCTGCACCCTTAAATCTGATTAGGAGTTGGCCATTCTTGCTTTTCGACACACATTTTGATCCCGTGGGGGTAACGAAGTGCTGCCGAAATTTCCTGTTTGTCTTTCACTTAGTATTTTTCAGCACATTTTGACCCCTTGGGGTAGCGAAGTGCTGCCTTTTTTCTTGACGGCACACTTCGACCCCATGGGGGTAATGAAATGCTGCCGAAATTTTTGAAAAATCAGATACTTCATTTCTCTCCACCTCCTCACCTACTTATTTATTTATTTATTATTTTTTATTTATTTTCCGATTTTTTTTTTAATTTGGCATTTTGAAACCTAGTGTGCTTATCTTGGCCTCTCCTTTCCCTTGGCACATTCTTGACCCCATGGGGGTTAGGAAAATGCTGCCGAAAAATCTAAAAAAATAAATATTTTTCTCTCTTCATATTTTATTTCCTTATTTTTTTAATTATTTTAATTATTTATTTATTTCCTTATTTATTTTTATTTTTCTCTCGAAATTTCGCTGTTTATTTATTTTCCCTCCCGCCTTCCCCCTATGCTTGCTATTTTATTTTTTGATTAGGTCACCGGTACCCTACCCTAACCACTCAAACTCCGGTTAGGGTTTTCTTAGGGTTTTTCTAGGCTTAGGGTTTTCCTAACCCCCCTTACTTTCCCTCCCACCCTGGATCCGAACCACCCCTCCCCCTTTGACGGCGCCCGCGCTCGATTTATTAGAGCCGCCCGTTGCCTTGTATGACATACCTCCCCCTATGCCCTCTGCTCACACGGACCTCCTCCGGCCCTCTCTAGTCCGGCCCGTTACCTCCCCATGGCCGACGGCGTGTCACAAGCCGCCGAGGCGGTGACGACCTCGGCATTGGGCTCCACACCCGTGCCAACGGACCAGGGCCATCAACCCCAAGGGCATCTGCACACCCTCATCACCTCCCTCCTTGCGCTTGAAATGGTAACTCTTGTCGCTGACCTGCAGCAACTTCAGGACGCTGGTCGTCCTTCCTCTCCCCACTCTCTCTCCTCTCCTGGTTCCCAATCCGGATGCCCCGTCCTCCGACATGGTGGCCACGGCGGAGCCTCCTCCTCTGCCGCCCCCGACCAGGCCATCCTGGTGACCGTCCACACTCCTAGCGCGACAGCCGCCATGGGCCAGACCCTCCCTCACTCTACGGGCGCACCCGCCCAGATTCCGATCACTACGGCCACGGGACCACAACCCGCTACCATGGTCTTAGCTTTTCCGGGTGCCCCGCTTCTCCCTCCCCTTCGCACGACCGCAGCGCCACCTGGCTCTCCCCCCT